GACCGGAAACAAGAAGATATCTCCACACCCGACACAGTTCTAGAATCAGCACGACAAGGCGCATCTTTCTATGCAATAATATCGACAAAAAAAAGACTGCTATAGTTTTGCTGTTCCGGCACCTTATGTCACCACTTTTAATAGAACTGTTTCTCTTCATAATAAAGAGCAACGCCCATATATGTCGAAGGGGAAATTAAAATTCAAGGCAATTTAAAATTCCCCTACAGGAACTTAAAAGTTTAAGCTCCTTTAGGGCAAATTCAAATAGGAATTTTTTTAACGTTTTTTAAGAAAAATAGCTTATTTTGATTTCCTCTAGGGCAAAGTAAAATTTTAAATTCTCCTACAGTAGAACAGATATACCACTATTTTAGCTTCCTTTTAGGAGAAATTGAAATAAATATTTTACAAGTATTATAGGATCGAAAAGAGTGACGAGCAAAGCGTAAAAAGCCTATATAAATAGCGTAACCCTAAGGAGTCAGACAATTCATACGATTTTCATACAATTCCACGTTCAAGACGGACATCTTCTACCAAAAATTCGTCGCACACATTCAAAGTCTCAACGATAAATTTCGTGCAAAATTTCTGATTAGAAAAGACATGTATGACGATATTGTGCTGGTATTGCGCGATGACTGGGACGATGCCCAGTTCAAATTTTGGACTCAACAACCCTTGGTACTGGTCAAAAGTGGAGATTCCAATGTCGTTTACAACAAAGCTAAAGTCAGTCACGGTCGGAAGTTACCGTTACTTTACCTGGAACTGATAACTGCCCAGTTACCAGGTAACGGTAAAAAACCGAGTTACCGCTACCAGGTGACTGGATATCGTTTACTGATCATTTGATCCAGTTATCAGTTACCAGATAACGGTAACTTCTCATCCCTATTCGTCACTATAATGTTAAGTAATCCATAAAAAAGGTAGTGTATTTTCGTGTTATAAGACGATTTATGGACTATTGATCGGATTTATACGAGTAGAATGTTCCGAACAATCGCTATTGACATTTAGAAAATTAATAGGCTGATTTTTGTTTGATTTGAAACCTTATTGGTTCACCGAGTGAGCCAACGTACTGTAATAAAACCTAACAGCTTTTTCTTTCCTTCGAATTGTTTCTTGAAAATCTGAAACAACCTCGTGAAACGTTCTGAATGAAGGATTTGATAGAGAGCCGTTCGGTGGAAATATGCTAATCACTTCAATGTATGGTATAAAATTTTTGATGTACTGTTTAAACCTCCATAACATATTGTGACACAAGTTGACATGTATCAATCGTATCTCGATTCTAACAAAAATATGGCCACAGTGGTCTTCATTAATTGCAATCCGTAAAATTACAAAACGATGAGAATTCAATCCTAATCGTGACAGAGCGTTTGTCGAATTCATGCTGTGAACGTGCTGTGAACGAAAGTTAAGGTTAAGAGAATGCAAAAACATCATCGATTAAATTTGTGGTTTACGTACATTAGTCGGTACCTGTAGAATCATGTTTACTTTAATTGTCGAAAGATGGTGAAAATGAGTATCTTCTAATAGACGATGATGATAATGAATGAGAACATGCTACAAATTTCCGAGATATGGCAAAAAGTTTCAGAATTAACACTTGAAGGAAAACAGTATCGGACGAGAATATAATAGAAAAACTTACGAACACCGCTGTAAACAAAAACCTATTCATAAATCAACTAGCTGATCGCGTAATGTTTTAAATTTCAATAACTATCATTCGCAACATTCTATTCGTCTAAATCCCGTTAATGGTCCAAAAATCGACTTAAAACTTAAAACACACCATATTCTTGTCAATTACAAAAAATAGTAGAGGTCGGGGAATTCCGACATCATCATCAATCGATTCAGCGAGATTTAAAACCCCCAGAACCATCAGCTTGACTGAATATCCCGACCCATTGTCAATATTTGCCTACTACACGTATTTATCGTATATTATACGTGAAAGAGTAGAGAGGCCTTGGATAGCCTGCCGTTCTCTTATACATTCATTAGGCAACTTTGGGCAAAAACTGTACACTACTAAACTTGTCCTGCACACGATGGCGATAAAAGAATGGCTAAATTTCGTAGGCGCTCATGGGCGATGTAGTTATACCATTCCTCCGCACACATGGTATACTTTGTGATTGAAAAGTCCTCTAAATTGCGAAGACTACACTATGTAGAAAAACTCGCTTGCATTTTTTCCGCAGCTTATAAGTGGCCTGATTCTAAACGAACAATAACAACGTATACTCTTAGTTTCTTCTAAATATAACCAACCAACCATAATAGTTATAACAAATTTGAAAAAAGATTTGAACAGCTGAAAGAACTTTTTGATCTGATGTGGTGTATAGAAAGGTTCTATAAAAACGGGTGAAATCAGAGTCTCTCGAAAATCCAAATTTCAGAAAACCAAGTCCCCGAGCTCAATGGAGAAATTCTTTGCAAGCAACTCCATCGTATAGAGCAAACACTCCTGAACAAAATGAGACGTTTCCGAGCTCTGTGCCGCATTTTTTCATTATACAGCATTCGATTTACAGAAGCTCCCGTACCGCAAAGATACGGCCTTCCGTAAATCAAATGCTGTTTCATGAAAAAATGCGGCATCGGACACAAAAAATGCGAGCTCGGACACAAAAAATGCGAGCTCGGACACGTCTTATTCTGTTCAGAAGCGTTTGCTCTATACGATGGAGTTACTTCCAACTAAGTGATGAAGGATTTAATACACAAAAGCCGCTGGCAAGCTTTGTTAAGTTTCCTATTAACACATCTTGTAAACACATCGAATGGTATATGAATGATTAGGGATCATCTTTAGTTTCACAGAAAAACGTGACAAAGAATTCCCGTGGTATAGAAACGACCGATGAAAAAGTCTAGTATTAAATTCATAAAACTTCCTGCCAGGCTTCATTAAGTTTCTTATTAACAGATATTATAGAGCTTTTCAAGATGCATCGAATGATATTTGAATGATTAGAGATCATCTTTGGTTTTGTAGAGAAAAGTGACCGACGGTTCGAAAGATTACATCATCGTTCAGTCAACGATGATGTGATCTTTGTTTTCGGATGTATTGCTTAATTTATGAACAAGCTCAATAAATTTGCGCTTTTAATTTGAAATTTTTTCTAGAGTGGCTAGGGCCTCAAGCCGATTATATTAAGGTGAGAAGACAGATTCATCAAAAACTATTCGGATATTTCTTAAATTTCGTTTTCTTTTCTAGAAAGGAATTGCTTTTGCTGATATAGCTACAAAAGAAGATGAACAAAAAAATTATAAAAGAGCATATGAAAATTATTTGTCTGCTGCAGAATGGATTCTACTAGCAAAAAAACGTAAGATTTATTAGATTAGAAAACATGTCATATTTTAAAATGTTTTCTACTTTTATTTTTCTAGATGGAAATATGAATGAAGACACAAAAGTGATGATTACTAGAAAAGCTGAAAGTTATATTAATCGAGCAGAACAGATTAGAATACTCCTTCGTGAAAAAAATGGAGACGATGACGATGACGATGAAGTTGATCCAGAAAAGAAAAAAATGGCTCAAAAGTTTGCAGGTATTAACGAAGATCTTACTTACATAAATTCTTTTAAGATGGTTTTCACTATTTTCTTTTCAAGGCTCCATTGTTTCTGAGACAAAAGTTTCATTTCATGATGTCGTTGGCTTAGATCAGGCCAAAGAAGCTCTGAAAGAAGCTGTTATATTACCAATCAAATTTCCGAGGCTATTTACTGGTAAGGCTCACTGCTCGGAAATAAGTTTGAAAGTTTTCACTTATTCTTATACAGGCCCGTAGCCAGGCTTTTTGCGAAAGGGGTGACCGATTCTTTTTTCTCTTCACAGGTAGTATGGAATTTTTTTCTGATTGAGTGCAGAAGTGTTGTACAAAAACTTGCGTTTGTCTGTTCATATCAACTGACAACCTTTTCATTCAAACGATAAACGAGTAAAACAAAGTAAAACATTTGTACTAGAAATATTAAGAATGTTCATTCGATAAGAGTTGTTACTGAGAAAAAAATGTTCAGCTGTAGGAAAAGAAATCTTTTTCTCTGTTATTTCCTATCACCACGAAAAAATGCTTTTCCGACGTCACTCATACGCAGTTTTATTTTGACTGCCATAATATTGCGAACTGACTCTACGACATCTTTGGGACAGAGTACGGACAGTATAAAAACACAGGCAGTTTGACATTATTCAGCGAGGAAAAATTCATTTCTTCAAAATTTCAGGAGGGGGACCGGTCTCCTCAATTTCCCTTTCTGGCTACGGGTCTATTCTTATATGTGAGTTTGAACCACGTTGAGGCTTCATATACAGCTCGTTTGTAGTGTAGAAACGGAGAGCAAGCTTGGACATTTGTAATAATAACCTTTTTCCGTTTATACGATGTCGGTAATGTATCTCATGTTTCTAGGTAGCAGAAAATCGTGGGCTGGAATATTGCTGTACGGAGTAAGTGGTTCGATAATCTATCGTTTTTGAGATTATTAGTATGTTTTTGGTTTCCTTATCAGCCACGTGGCACTGGAAAGTCCTATTTAGCTAAAGCGACAGCGACTGAATGTAAAAGTACATTTATATCTGTCAGCTCAGCGGATTTACTATCAAAATGGCTTGGCGAAAGTGAAAAATCCGTTCGATATGTATTTGAATTAGCACGTGAAAAGCAGCCAGCCATTGTATTTATCGATGAAATCGATGCTCTTTGTTCAACAAGAACAGATAATGAATCGGAATCTGCTAGACGTATCAAAACAGAATTTCTTGTACAGATGGAAGGTAAAACGTCTAAAATAGTCGTAGTGCGGGAAGTATCTGTCATTATTCGTTTGTCTTTCATCAGGTGTTAGAAATAATCAAGGAGTATTAATACTTGCAGCTACTAATATTCCGTGGGGTTTGGATTCAGCTATTCGACGACAGTAGAGTATAAAAATGCTCGGATATGTTCTTTTGACTGATGTATATTTCCATTATATCGCTTAGATTTGAAAAACGGATATACATACCACTGCCTGATCAAGCAGCACGTAGGTCAATGTTTAAGTTACATCTTGGACCAAATGCGCAGCACACATTAACTGAAAACGATTGGACAATATTATCTCAAAAGTCAGAAAAGTAAGTGAAAACTGATTGTTTCTAAAAGATTGTTTTTCATGCCGATTATTCTCATTTCAGCTATTCTGGCGCAGATATTGCAGTAGTTGTACGAGAAGGTACATTTTGTTGTATTATTTGTTGAAGTTTTTGTTCAATTCTTCTCTCTTCTATAGCATTTTTGAAACGAATTCGACGTGTCCAACAGTCCGCACATTTTAAACGAGTAAAATAATAAAAGAACATTCATGAGTTTGTGCCTATATGTCGTAAATTATTATTTTAGGTTAAAAATCCTCAGCGAGGCGGATCAGAATTTTTATGGGCAGCATGCTCTCCGGGAGATCCTCAAGCTATAGAACTTACATTAGACGAAATCAAAGCTGATGAATTATACGAACCACCAGTTACAATGGTAAATTAACTTAGTTTCTTTTTATACCATTAGACTCAACTACAGATTTACGTTGAAATCTTCTCTCCATATTAGAAACGACGATGTTTGGCCAAACGTCGCTCTAGAAAAGCTCATGGTTTTCTCTTTTCAGGACAAAAGAAAGGAAAAAGTATAGTGCATTTGCAATCGTTATTTTCCGTTGAGGCGTTTCGTATTTGCAGAAATTCTCCGTAATCTTACATGCTATCGAGTTCAGAGAGATTTTAAATTGAAGTTAACACATTCTCTCAAAGGTAACACAACCCCATTTTTTAGCAATATGTAAATACTGATAGATGAAGCCACGGAAACTTTAGCATAACTATACTTGCATAGATTTAACATTCTGTGAAAGTTTCATCGCAATCGGGTGTAAAATGGTGAAATAAATATTTGACATAGAGAAAATTCTTGTTTGAGAAGCAAGAAGACGAAATAAAAATGATTAAGATCTAAAGTTTATATCATGCCTTAAATCTTTGATTAAAATAATAATTTCAGAGATTCTGAAACTTGTAAAGTAGACAAGATGTTTATATTGCTGCCATGAGTGTAATCTAGTTATACGAAACAGATAATGTGACATCAGAAAGCTATGTAACTTATTTTATTTTAGGGCGATATGTTAGCTGCATTATCAACAGAAAAAGCAACTATTGAAGCTGCTGATTTAAGACAACATCAGAAATTCACAGAAAAGTATGGTCAAGAAGGTAGCTAAATTTGAATGGTGTCACTTTATTATGTATTGAAACATGGATATTCGTTTGTGTTATTAAGTTCTTGTTTTCAATTACACTAATTTCATAGTCAGTGCAAACTTTCTTTTGAATAAAACGATAAAAGTTGTTCTTCTCTCTATTTTTTGCTTTATATCTCTCTCTATAGTGTGCATAGTAGGAAAAAAGCATCTAAGTTTCATCTAACGGAACTATTACGTGGATAGACATGAATGTTTTGTTATACAATGATGAATATAATGGTAATGGATGAGTAGTTATTGTTCATCATTTGACACTCTTATTCATTGATTATCAATAGCTCTGTTTCAAGAAGATACTGACTATGGATAATAGCAGCCTTTCAACCATTCTTATTTCTGTTTTATATGTATTATCTCTCACTACCATGGCCCGAAGAGAAAGCCGGAAAGTCATGGTAGTTCAGAAAGAAGTTCTCTGAAAACTCATTTGGCTTTATATTGGCGTAGATACACACTTTTTCATACGTTCAGCTGTGATATTGGTAGCCTTATAACTCAAAAACACAACGGTATCTTTTTCTAAAAAATAGCATGGCATGGAGTACAACCTGTGTACTTCAAACTGACGTAGAAGACAACTTTTTCTTTTCAAATGATTTGAAAAGAAAAAGTTGTCAGTTGATATGAGCAGACAAACGCAAGTTTTTGTACAACACTTCTGCACTCAATCAGAAAAAAATTCCATAC